CATAGCAGGTCCCCTTCACAATTTATATGAGTAACAATTGGCACTTAGGGCCTTGCAAACATAAATGATTTGAGCCTCACAACAGCCTTTTGAGGCAGGTAAGTTTTAGCAGCTCCATTTTACAGATGAGGATAGATAAGTAGATATCCATCCGAGCCAATCACCTTTTTGTGCACACTGGAGACCCTGATATGCTATATTCAAACCCTGGGGCTAGGTCTACACGGGGTGGGGGGGGTCGATTTAAGATACGCAATTTCAACTACGCGAATAGCATAGCTGAATTCGGCGTATCCTGTTCGACTTACCCCGCTGTGAGGACGGCGGCAAATCGACTGCTTCGGCTCCCCAGTCGACTGTGCTTACTCCTCCTGACGAGGTGGGAGTAAGCGCGTCGATTCGGGGATCGATTTATCCGTCTAGATGAGACGCGATAAATCGATCCCCGAGAGATCGATTTCTACCCGCCGATCCAGGCGGGTAGTGTAGTCTAGCCCTGTGATTACCACATACAAGTCCCTTTAAAAATGTACACAGCGGGGAAAAGGGGCTAATAAATTATCAGTTTGCACTTTCCCTTTGCCGTAATATTCAAGTTGCCAAACTGGCCGACATATCATGGAAATCGGTGTTACTTGAATCATTGGATGCTGGATGTTGTTTGATTAAGAGATGACTCTAAGACTCCTGTTAGTACTGTGACAGTGCCTAGTGACCACAGCTGAAATGCAAGCCCCTTTTGTGCTAGGTGCTGTACAAACACATAGTGAAAGACAAGCCCTGCACTGAATAGACAACAGGTGTCAGAGAGGTGACTTATCCAAGGTCATGCATCAAGTTGCGGGAAGAGCTAGGAGCAGAACCTGGGTCTCCTGACACCAAGTCTACTGTCCTACCTACTAGACTGCACTCACTGTCCTAAAATCCTGCAGTCCCTTTAGTGCTTGCAGACTGAATTGTTCCTAGCAGGAAACCCATACATTTAGACCAGTGGATTAATTAAGAAATCACAGTGAAAACATCCTGTCTCCAGTTCCGCTCCTGGAGATGACTTGTTCTCATTGGAGGTAACGGCACCTTTTAAAGATACACCTCTACCTCGATATAACGCTACCCGATATAACACGAATTCGGATATAACGTGTAAAG